AATAATAAAATGTCCGTAGAAATCGCCTTTGTCACATCATTAAATATTTGAGCTTAATAACTTTAACAAAATATTGCAATAACAACTACAGATATGAATGATGGTCGTCATTTTAAGAAGTGGATTCAGATGAAAAGATTTGAAATTGACAACTTTTTTCCATTTCACCGAAACAGCCGTTAAACACTTCTTTTCTTTCTTTCTTTCTTTCTTTCTTTCTTTCTTTCTTTCTTTCTTTCTTCAAGTAGTATTTTTCCAATTTTTCCACTCGATCAAAACGGAATAGCCCATTTTTTATGAGGTACTGACAGGGCGTAACTGTTGCGCGAACTAACAAAGGCAGGGGTGAGCACAATAATAATAATATTAATAATAATGATGCAGAGGAATAAAAAGAAACCAGTTGTAATAATCCCTCTGATGTACACAACCAAATACAGGAAGATAATGACGAATATGAAAGAGAAACAGAGATGACAAAAAACATCCAATATAAACGGGGAATATAAAGGAAATGTCTTTCAAGGAAAAGTCAACAATTCTAAAAGTAAGAAAGAACCGTCACGTGAAGAATATCATCAATATCGCTAACCAAGATATTAGAAAAATAAGGGACGAAATGGAAAGACCGAAGAACCTAACAGAAATTAATCATCTTATATACGTGGCCTCGGCAACGATCATAGAAACAATAGGTGAAAAAGTAAAAACACAAATTAATCGAAAAAGAAAATTGCCAGTCTGGAAAGAAAAAATAGAAACCGAAATAAATAAATTACGAGTACAATTGTCACTTCTAAGTGCAGTAGACCAGATCTCCAAAATGAAAGAAAGAAAAAGGAATTGACTGAAAAGAAGCCTTGACATAAAGAATAAGATTGACTTACCAAAAATTAAAGAGTTGATTAAAGAGAAGTTGAAAGAATTAGGCATTTTTTTTAAAAAAAGAAACAGATTCTTCTGGCAAAACAAGATCTTTAAAGAAGATGCCAAGAAATTATATCGAAACCTGAGAAAAAAAATAGAGATAAATGACCCACCCAATATCCAGGAATGAAAGAGTTACATGGATCAAGCAAAAACAGGAACAACACTCACATACAGAGTACCAAAAATAAACGGATATCAATATTACTGAAACAACATCTGTCATCTGCTAAATCAAAAACGAGAAAGCACCAGGAATAAACCGAATAGCTAATATGGGGATAAAAATCCTATCAAGAATCCACCAAGACCTCGCACAGACATACAATGATATAATCATAAATACCCTAAATACTCTAAATGGAACACGTGGGGAGTAAAATACTACTCTTCAAAACAGAAGAGACGCAGAACCCGAAGAACTATAGGCCCATCACCTACCTACAGACAATGTACAAGAGCCTCAATCCTATCATAACCGAGAAGACATACAACACCCATGAGAAAACAATTCATTCACAGTAGTACAGAATGGATATAAAAGAGTGCAAGAACCAATTAATTATCAATAAAACAATATTGAAAGAGGTGAAAACAAGGAAAAGAAACTTATCGATAGCATTGATCGATTACAGAAAGGCTTTCAACATTGTACGACACTCATGGATGATATAGAGCCTAAAAATATATAGAGTATTCCCCACAAAGTTTAAATTCATAACGGAGAGCATGAAAATCTGGAAGACTACACTGAATCTAAACCACACAAACAGGTCATTAACATCGAGACCAATCAACATCAAAAGTGGGATCTTCTAAGGAGATTGATTGTCAAGAATACTCTTCTGTTTTTTATTAGCGCCACTCAGTTGCCTATTGAACAGAAGTATCTACGGATACAAGTGACAGAATGGCAAGCTCAATCACCTATATTGATAATTTTAAAGAGTTTGCCAAGGATGACAGCCAGCAGAAAAAAAAACCTACTCACTGTTGTCAAAACCTTCAGCGAAGACATTAGGACGGAATTTGGAATCGACATATTTGCCAATGATACCTTCAAAGGCGGTAGACTAACGAATACTACAGATTTAGACCTTGATATCAACAACATGATTAAGGAACTAGATCCAAGACGGAATACAACATTCAGTTATGAATAAAATGACCCGAAAAGAACATTATAGGAGAGTGCGTCTGATACGAGAATTTAATGGGACCAATAAAATGAAGGCTATAAACACCTTAGTTAAAGCCGTAGTAACATACAAGCTTCAACATTATTAAAACACATTCATGAAAATTATACAGAAACTGTCCAAATACAAGGAGCTGGATATCGAGATTAACAGGATGTGGGGAATGAAGATTGTACCAGTAATAATCGGAGGTCTGAGCCTCGTAAGAAAAGGAATGTATAATTTTACTAACATTGTCCCAGTTAACATCGACATACAAGTTGCCCAGAAGATCGCCCTACTATGAACATGCTATATATTAAGAAAGGCGTTGTTAAATTCTATACAGCCTAAAGACCATAGTTTGGACCCGGCTCTATAGGATACAATAGCATACACTAATAATAATAATAACAACAACAACAATAACAATAATAACACTAAAAATGTAGCAGGAGGAAGTCTGACCCCTTGAACCTGATGGCTTACCACGTATGGGTAACTTCGAACTAATTATAATTCTAACACAGCGAAAAATATTGATAAACCACATCGGTTGTCACGCGGGTCAACAGGAACCGCTATCCTCAGTGAGGAGCCAGACTGGGATCGAAAAGTCTACAACTGGAACAAACTGTACCCAATGAGAATTAAAGGAAAACCATGCCGGCAACAGTTCTCAAAGAGACACTCTATATTTATTAAAAGAAAATCCCACAAAAGGAACAATAAACAAGTGGTCTAGGGAAGAGTCTATTTTCCTAGTTATTTATGAATATGGTACAGGGCGCCCAACAAAATAAAAACAGGTACGTTTAGATTTACTATATGATGAAAAAAATGACTAACATATAAAAAAATGACTATATTTTTTACTAAATGAATGAACTAAAACATAACTACGATGTAATATTGTTAAACATTTGTTCTTCCACGAAGCCGCAGTTATCAAATTTTCAACGCGAGGTGATTGTTCTTTTTAAAAAAGAACATCCAACTTGGGGCCTGTAAAAATGCCAAGAAATTTTGGCAGAGGACTTTTGTTTGTACACCACATCTAGCATTTATGTTTTTGTTCTGTTTTAAGCAGTTAAATTTCTATCTTTTGGTTTTGTTTCAAATAACAACAATTAAATAAATTTTCAACAATTAAATAAACTCTACTAAATTTCCTGGTTTATCGTGAAGCACCCTGTAGTTTATGCAGGCTGTCAAAACTGTCGACTTATATGAAATTGATTTTTTTTTACTTTCTTACTATTATTAGATGGTTTTCATATATGAGACTTTAAATATATTTTTCCAATTATTAATAATGATGTACTCTATTGTGTCCTAGAATATATCTTTTCGCCCATCAGCTACATAAATATTTTTGAATTGCACACCCGTGTTATCGCAAAGACACAGCCAATTGGCATCGCTAGAACAAGGGAGATAAATCTATTACAACAATATTATATACCAAAATTTATAAATGCTATTGGTGCATCACGCACATACACAGGCACACAGAGATGCATACACACACGAACACACACACTCATATATATATTAATAATAATAATAATCAAGAATGAAAACTTAAAGATTCATTTTGGTTATAATTTATTTCGTGAATGTCTATATATTCATCTCTTCAGACCGAAATCTTTTTGTAAATTTTTCGGTCTGAGAAGACGAATATATAAATATTCACGAAATAAATTATAACCGAAATGAATCTTCAAGGTGTTATTATTATTATTATTATACTTTTGTAGTTTACATTGAGCTCTCCCTGGATCAATATCGTCCTTGGAATTATCCCTACCAGTCATAAATTGTAATATATATATATATATATATATATATATATATATATATATATATATATATATATATATATATATACCCAAGTATATGATTGGTATATATGGAATGAATTCCAATAACCAACAAATACTATTCTTAAAAGAGTGCTCAATACAAAGTAGAGCAAAAATATAATTATTTATTTAAAAAAAATAACATAAATATGTTATAAAATCACTACAAAAAATAGCCATTTTTTGTTTCAACACCCTCGGTGTTTTATCAAGTGATGATCACTTGATCATCATGATAAGACACCGGGGTGTATAAATAAAAAATGGCTATTTTGTAGTGATTTTTTAACATATTTATGTTATAATTTTTAAAATAAATAATTATATATATATATATATATATATATATATATATATATATATATATATATATATATATATATATATATATAGTAACTTCGGTGAGTATCAATGGGTAGGTAAATTCATGTTTAATTTTTTAGATGTTTTTCTGTCAATGTTTAACCATCTTTCCTAAGAAAAATCAATGTTTGAAAATGACGTTTTAAACAGTCGAGACTCTCTCAACATTGATTATTTACAAGATTATAAAAAATAGGCGAACATATAGATAATATATTTATTATTTACCATGTTATAAAGATTTATAATATACTAGGTCGAAGTGGCCAAATACAACTAGGTACTGACCAGGCATGGCGTTGCTTAACTTCGGTGATTGTACGAGAACGGTTGTTTCAACGTGATATGGCCATAAGACCATAGTACTATTTGCACTTCCAAGCTTACAGCACTTGGCATTCTAAAGCGATTACGCATGTAGGTACTGACCAGGCATGACGTTGCTTAACTTCAGTGACCGTACGAGAACGGTTGTTTCAACGTGATATGGCCATAAGATCATTGTACCATTTGCACATCCAAGTTTACAGCACTTGACATTCTAAAGCGATTACGCATGTAGGTACTGACCAGGCATGGCATTGCTTAACTTCGGTGATCGTACGAGAACGGTTGTTTCAACGTGATATGGCCATAAGACCATTGTAGTATTTGCACATCCAAGCTTACAGCACATGGCATTCTAAAGCGATTCCGCATCCAGGTATTGACCAGGCATGACGTTGCTTAACTTCGGTGATCGTACGAGAACGGTTGTTTCAAAGTGATATGGCCATAAGATCATTGTACAATTTGCACATCCAAGTTAACAGCACTTGACATTCTAAAGCGATTACGCATGTAGGTACTGACCAGGCATGGCATTGCTTAACTTCGGTGATCGTACGAGAACAGTTTTCAACGAGATATAGCCATAAGACCATTGTACGATTTGCACATCCAAGCTTACAGCACTTGGCATTCTAAAGCGATTACGCATGTAGGTACTGACCAGAGATGGCATTGCTTAACTTCGGTGATCGTACGAGAACGGTTGTTTCAACGTGATATGGCCATAAGACCATTGTACCATTTGCACATCCAAGCTTACAGCACTTGGCATTCTAAAGCGATTACGCATCCAGGTATGTTGCTTGACCAGGCATGACGTTGACCTTAACTTCGGTGATCGTACGAGAACGGTTGTTTCAAGGTGATATTGTGGCCATAAGACCATTCCAGGTATTGAGTATTTGCACATCCGAGAACGGTTGTTTCAACGTGATATGGCCATAAAGACCATTGTACAGCACTTGGCATTCTAAAGCGATTCCGCATCCAGGTATTGACCAGGCATGACGTTGCTTAACTTCGGTGATCGTACGAGAACAGTTGTTTCAACGTGATATGGCCATAAGACCATTGTACCATTTTCACATCCAAGTTTACAGCACTTGACATTCTAAAGCGATTACGCATGTAGGTACTGACCAGACATGGCATTGCTTAACTTCGGTGATCGTACGAGAACGGTTGTTTCAACGTGATATGGACATAAGACCATTGTAGTATTTGCACATCCAAGCTTACAGCACTTGGCATTCTAAAGCGATTACGCATGTAGGTACTGACCAGACATGGCATTGCTTAACTTCGGTGATCGTGCGAGAACGGTTGTTTCAACGGGATATGGCCATAATACCATTGTACCATTTGCACATCCAAGCTTACAGCACTTGGCATTCTAAAGCGATTACGCATCCAGGTACTGACCAGGCAAGACGTTGCTTAACTTCGGTGATCGTACGAGAACAGTTGTTTCAACGTGATATGGCCATAAGACCATTGTACCATTTGCACCTCCAAGCTTATAGCATATGGCATTCTAAAGCGATTCCGCATCTAGGTACTGACCAGGCATGGCATTGCTTAACTTCGGTGATCGTACGAGAACAGTTTTCAACGAGATATGGCTATAAGACCATTGTACTATTTGCACATCCAAGCTTACAGCACTTGGCATTCTAAAGCGATTACGCATGTAGGTACTGACCAGACATGGCATTGCTTAACTTCGCTGATCGTACGAGAACTGTTGTTTCAACGTGATATGGCCATAAGAACATTGTACCATTTGCACATCCAAGCTTATAGCACTTTGCATTCTAAAGCGATTACGCATCTAGGTACTGACCAGGCATGACGTTTCTTAACTTCAGTGACCGTACGAGAACGGTTGTTTCAACGTGATATGGCCATAAGATCATTGTACCATTTGCACATCCAAGTTTACAGCACTTGACATTCTGAAGCGATTACACATGTAGGTACTGACCAGACATGGCATTGCTTAACTTCGTTGATCGTACGAGAACAGTTGTTTCAACGTGATATGGCCATAAGACCATTGTACCATTTGCACATCCAAGCTTACAGCACTTGGCATTCTAAAGCGATTACGCATCCAGGTACTGACCAGGCATGACGTTGCTTAACTTCGGTGATCGTACGAGAACATTTGTTTCAACGTGATATGGCCATAAGTCCATTGTACTATTTGCACATCCAAGCTTACAGCACTTGGCATTCTAAAGCGATTACGCATCTAGGTACTGACCAGGCATGATGTTGCTTAACTTCGGTGATCGTACGAGAACAGTTGTTTCAACGTGATATGGCCATAAGACCATTGTACCATTTGCACATCCAAGCTTACAGCACTTGGCATTCTAAAGCGATTACGCATGTAGGTACTGACCAGACATGGCATTGCTTAACTTCGGTGATCGTACGAGAACGGTTGTTTCAACGTGATATGGCCATAAGACCATTGTACCATTTGCACATCCAAGCTTACAGCACTTGGCATTCTAAAGCGATTACGCATCTAGGTACTGACCAGACATGGCATTGCTTAACTTCGGTGATCGTACGAGAACGGTTGTTTCAACGTGATATGGCCATAAGACCATTGTACCATTTGCACATCCAAGCTTACAGCACTTGGCATTCTAAAGCGATTACGCATCTAGGTACTGACCAGGCATGATGTTGCTTAACTTCGGTGATCGTACGAGAACAGTTGTTTCAACGTGATATGGCCATAAGACCATTGTACCATTTGCACATCCAAGCTTACAGCACTTGGCATTCTAAAGCGATTACGCATGTAGGTACTGACCAGACATGGCATTGCTTAACTTCGGTGATCGTACGAGAACGGTTGTTTCAACGTGATATGGCCATAAGACCATTGTACCATTTGCACATCCAAGCTTACAGCACTTGGCATTCTAAAGCGATTCCGTATCTAGGTACTGACCAGGCATAATAAATCATGGTAGAAACCTCAATTTTAAATAAATTTGGAGAGAAGACACACCCTTGTCTTACGACCTTTTCTATTTTCTATTTCTAACTGTATGCGGGCAGTTTGCTCCCTATATAAGTTCTGGATAGTTCTAACATCCTTTCCAAATAGTTTTCTTAATAGTTTCAATAGATCCTTGTGCCTTACCTTGTCAATGATTTTGCGTAATCTATAAAACATAATTGCGTACCTTTCTTTATTTGTACTTCTTTTTCCGATGTTATTCTAATCATGAATATCGCATTTCTTGTTCTGGTGTCCTTGCCAAAAGTTCACTATTCTTGTCATATTTCCGGTTTAATTCTTCTCCGCGATCTATTCAGCAGGATTCGCATCATTAACTTGGTTATGTGGCTCATTAAGCTGATTATCCGATGGAGCTCACATTCATCTACACCTGGGTTCTTCGGTAATGCTACTAAAATGGATTTACACTGAGGTCGTCCAGTATGCCACTACCTGTTATATATTTTGTTTATTATTTCTGGGATCCTGTCGAAGCCGAAATCGTCTAAAACTGAATAGCATTTTTGTTACGATACAATCTGGTCTTACTGCTAAATTCCCGTTCATCTTGTACACTACTGATCATAATTAAGACTTTAATATTTACGGCCCTTAAGCGTTTTAAGCGTTTTACGTTTCCTGCACGCATCATGTGAAATTTTTCTGATTTATTCGGTCAATCTTTTGAGCATTTTTTTCCCATTATCAGTGTATCCTGGGTATATAAACTATATCCGGCAGGAGAATCTCTGATTGGAAGACTGGAGTTTTCAAGATGCGTGGAAACTACTTAATTGCTGCTGTTCCCAGGTCCACCCTGACCAGGGAAGGTAGCACCTGTTAGGGACGAAACTATTGTAATAAATAATGGATCCACAAATAAAAATCAAAACGTTATTCATAATAAAAATTACTAGCTATAAATTAAAAAAAAAATACCAGCAAAACATTTTTAAAGCAAAACGAACAGCAATACATTTTTATAGCAGATTGACCAGTAATACATTTTATTGCAGAATTACCAACAATACTTTTTATAGTAAAATTACTAGTAATACATTTTTATTGCTGAATTGCAAGCAATACATTTTTATAGCAAATTACAATCAATACATTTTTATAGCAAATTACAATCAATACATTTTTATAGCAAATTACAATCAATATATTTAAAAAAGTATAAACATACTTTTATAGCAAAATTAGCAATAATGCATTAAAAAAAATAATCAACAATATATTTTTATCATTTACAAAATATATACCCCCACCAAAAAAAAAAAAAAAATCAACATACGTTTACAGTGAAAGTATAAAATTATGTTCAAAATAGCTGTAGTTGCAGCCCTAAAATTGCGTAAAAAATATTTAGTTTTCGGTTTTAATCCATAGAGGTTAATATATCCTTAACCAAACAACAACCCATTAATTTAGTATCAGTGATTCTTCCTTTGATTGTATCCTCTATCGTAGTGTTCATTCTTTTATTCGTGTTGACCATCCTTTCTATTTCCTTTTCATTGACTCATTCTTTAGTCTCACTACATTTTTGTTACAGTACTCTCAATACAATACTTACCTTTACGCTCACTGCATCTCTGCCTCAGTTCTTAGCATTCCGAGCACAAATTCATATAGTTTCCCTGATTAGTCATTTGGTTTTTGTTTTTTGTTTTTTATTTTCATTACTGGTTTCTTTATAAAATTCTCAATATTCACATCTTTAATAAGATACTGGTCATTTGAATTGCTTAATGTTTACGATTAGCATTTGGCGGTTTAGTACTTTTATCTGATTTCTTTAGTTTATGTGCGCTTAAGGCGCACGTGTGGGTTTATGGGAGGAGCGATGACTCCATACAAACAACAGGCGCACGTATACGCACGCGTAAGTAATCTCCAATCCATACTCTCGTGTCCAACACCATATTCATATGGGTGCATAGTCATCAAGAGAGTTACTTCTGTCAACACCATTCCTGTAAGTCCCAGCCTATATAATGAAACTGTGATTGTTGTCCAAGACGAATTCATTTACACTGAAATACGTATACCGTTACATATTCACACACGCACACATACGCACACACATACATATTTAAACAATAATATAATGAATTGGAAAAGAAAAGTTTTTGTGACCATTAGGATTTCATCGGCCTGGGCTTTGTTGCTGATGCCACATCTGCACATGCGCACGAAACGAGAGACGCTGGTAGTTTCAGAATTTTTGAAAGAATATTTTTTTAAAGAATATCTTTTTATGCCTATTTTTCTCACTAGATTTCTCGAAATATTCAGGCCGGTTGATGTAAATAAATAGATATACTGTTTAATAAATAAATAAATAAATAAATAAATAAAAACAACATCTACTCAAATAAAATTTAAAATAACGTTGTTTCATGGAACTAAGATCAGA